GGGGGGGGGGGGGGGGGGGGGGGGGGGGGGGGGGGGGGGGGGGGGGGGGGGGGTTGGAAAAAACTACAACGAATACCACGGATGGTATATCCAGCCTACGAAGAATAGTATACTTGTAAGAACTTGTGGGCGATACTAACCTATTCGGTTTGTGGATAAGGGTTAGGGTTAGGGTAAGGGTTAGGTTTAGGACGACAAGTCATCCGTGTCCACAGATACGAGTCCAGATCAAAAGAACAAACGATTCAATATGTATATACCACTAGTCTCCGGTCGCCCCGGTGGTCAAGTGGTATCCTCGTAATGCACCGGTTGCAGAGGTCGTGAGTTCGAATCTCCTTGGGATGGAAAATTTACGAAATTTGCGGGTGAGAGCGAGGTATGGCAAAAAAGCTCCCGCGGGTACCAAACTTCGGCGCTAGCACCGTTGACGAGGGAAAGGGACGGCTGGACCCTTCTCGCGATAAAAACAAAAATTCAGCACGCACCGCAGGAGGCAGGTGGGGCATGAAAAGAAATAAAAAGAAGAAAAAAAGCCCTGGTGGATACCCCCTCCTGTGTGACCCTGCACGGATGCAGTTGTTGTACGTAACACTGAAAAGTGTAGTACTCTACATACGCTGAACAATGTAGTACACGTCTCACCACGAAAAATGGGGGGACTGTCGCCATAAAAAATAGGACGAAAACACACACCCATAGTCTATACCACCACAATTCACAATTTTCTACTTCTACCTGCGAAGCAAAGCAACATTCACAGCGAGCGGTGGAGCATAGCAGCGCAAGACTTGCGAGCGTTTTCTACCTTCTTGCCATGTGCCGCGTTGTACGCGCGCAGCTTCCGCTTCATGGACCCTTGCGCAACAATGAAGAAGTAGTACAGCACGAGGTAGGCTAGCGTCACCCGCACTCCGTGGACCACGTTAGGTCCCACCCTCGAGGACGTCTCCTCCGCCGTTGCCGCCGCCGCCGCCGCCGCCGCTGCGGCGGCCTTCCCTCCCTTGCCCATCGGAGATTCCGTGGCACGGGCAGCACCTTGCAAAATTTCCCGAAAACAAACAGCAGGCGTTACGCGCCGGTCAAAAAGCACATGGACGGGGAAAAGCAAATCAAACACCATATAGTCAACACCCGCACTCAAGGGCCTCTACTTGTATTTTCGCCGAGGCCGAGGTTCTTAGTTTCTAGAGTCATGTGACCGATGGCCGCTGCATAGGCTATAGAGTAAGGGTTCTTAACCGGGCTCACAAATGGTGCTCAGGTTGTAGGACTTTGAGTATTTCGAGGCTACTGCTGTACATTTGTCAACAGCCGAGTTGCTGCGTGCGGGCGCTGTACAAAAAATCGATCATCGGGAGGTAAAAAGGCAGCCACGAGGGGTTTCGATCTCTCTCGGGTGGATAGGAGGTGGTCCTAACGCGACATTGATGCTACTGCCATGCTACTGGGGTGAAGGCGGCATGTCTTTCACGCGTGTCATAAAGACCAACGTGATGAAACAGAACGCAGGACAGGATGGGGTAGGGCAGGAAAGGATGGGCAGTCAGTCGTGATGCTGCTTCTGCGGCGGTGTACGCAGGGGGAGAAAGGCTTCCGTGAAAGCGGCCGGTAGTATTTGTATTAGTTCCTTCTTGGTTCCTTGGAGAAAATCGTACCCTTTTTCGACAAGAGCGTACATGAGGCACCAACGTAAGGAACCAACCGTATTGTAATTAGCTGCGTACGACACCACATCCCCCGGACCGATTTTCAAAGCTCGATTACTACGCGACGACAAGGATGGAGAAATCAAACGCCTTCGTTTTCCCCACTGCCGTTGTTCTTGCTGCAAAGTAGCCGGGCTTTGGAGATCGGCCAGGGTAGGTATGTTGCCTACGGTAGTCTAGAGGTGAAGCAACCTTGTCCAAGGCCCTAGCCCCGAGGGTTGAAAAATGTTTTTCTGTGTGCCCAGCAACCTACAATCCAACCCATGACGGGAAGGCTCGCTGCCTGATTTCGGACAGTCGCCCGATCGTACTAGCTTCATTCAGCAATTTTTTTCTAAAGACTTATGCTTCGTCTCTATCGGACACCACCCGAATACACTGCCGATGCTGGTGCTGGTAGCACCGTGTGTGTGTGAGCGGTGTGTCTTCGGTGCCATCCCATTTGGTTTCGGTAAACACCTGTTCGGCATACGATGGGTAGGGTTATGGTTAGGGTAAGGTTTAGGTGTATATTTTACGTAGGTATGAGCCGGGGCCACACGCACCTGAGTTCGTGATAGATATTGCGTAGACGGAATGACTTTTGACCGTGTGTCAAAACTGGACGTAGGCTCGAGACACAACTGTTTTTCGTCTAATTAACTTCCCAGCGGGCAAGCGTCGCCAAAGGCACACGATAGGACCGACAACGCCACAGCAGTACCAACCACGCTTCGGCAGCGGCAGCAAATGTGCGCGGGTTGCTCTCGACTCTGCACTGTACTGGTACATTGCATCAGAGACAGAGTGCCCGTCCGACCCAAAGATATAAAGATACCCCGTGGACGCGACGCGTTGAAGGTATTGTGCGAAATGGGCAACATGGTTCTGTGTATCACGTACAAACGACATCAGCTCTATTGCTGAGCATCATGTGCGTCATTCTGAGAGAACTTTCGTCGCTGTCGAGGCCGAGAACTGATGATTTGATGAGGACATGAGTTGATTGCTGCTGACTTCTTTGTTCGTAGCACGTGTGGCTATTTTTGTCGCGGAAGTCATCTCAAAGAAGCGTAGGCATACTCTCGTACCGAATAGATGATGGGGGGTGTTATGTTCCAGAAGAGAATCACGTCCTGGCGCGCGGGTGTGTCGCGTTCCTTGCGAGCTCTCGCTCAGTTCCACATGCCGACAGGTGAAAACTATCACGACCACAGCAAAAGCCTTCGCGGGTATTCAGCGTGTTTCAGTTTCGCACAGCAGCAATACAGCCGCCACACAGCAGCAGCAGCAGTCTTGGAGGCATCGGTTGGCTGCAATCCAAGTTGAGCCAAGGGCGCTGCTGTCTCGACAACCATTCTCCCGCAAATCATTTACACTCACAACCACCAAAGAACCAACTGCCTGCCGAGCACACCTTCGTTTGTCGCAACACAGCCCAGTGGGTTGCCCTGGGGTATGTATGGAGCGAGCTATGGCAGGGATGATGATGGTCCAGAAGGCACTCTTCTCAAATGGATTTGGGGGGGGCCGCAGAATGCACGCCTACAGCAGTTGCGGTACAGCATGGGTTGGTGTAGATGGGCCATTATTACTCTAAATACCCGTCACAGGTCAGCCAATCTCTTGTTTTCTGTTCGTGTATCCACACAACCGGGGAACGTTGGTAACACGGCCAGCATCTTACTTTGGTGGTGGCCATGAACGGGGGCTCGGCTGTCCGCTACGATTACGTGTGTTCGATGGCCGGCAGGAAGGAAGTGACATAATTTTTCAGCTCAAGTAAAGAGTCACATCAATCGGCATTGTCCTACAATAATAATAGAAGAGCGGACTGTTATTTTTGTGCATGTGTCCTGAACAGCAGAATAAGCAACAGCAGTGCGACAACAATGCCCTCCTGCCTGCCCATCGGTCAGGTCATGTCAGCAGCGTAGAAAAGCTGTCGACGACGTCGCCATACCTCGTGAAACGATTGTGCAAATTGCTCAACAAACTTGGATGGAGTGTTTGTGTCGACCAATGTAGATATCCCGAGTAACCAGCAGCCATTTCCTCACTTTTTCTCCAATCCAACCCTGTACGCAGTGATTCGGGTGTGTCCGACAACAACCGGTGAGATATTCTCAACTCATCCATCCACCCATCAGGTAGATCAGTGCTGACCACAATACCTATATGCCAACCGCAATGTATGACCCATCTACAGAGCGTTGGGAAAAACAACAGCAACAAAAAAACTACTTCGACATGGTGTGCAGCATACAACGTTCAAGTTGCAACTTTCATTTGCGAGCATACTTCCGTTCCGTTCTTCATGTTGTCAATGGACCCTCCTACTCCCCCGTGTCAAAAAAAACATCAAATACCACTCAGCACAGACACTATTCCCTCATGAACAAGCCTCACTTGCGATTTCGAGCATGTTCTTGCATGCGGTTCACGACGGCATCGCACCCTCCTTTTCCCCTGTCACATAACACGCTCACACCTACTCCACTCAATAAAGGCACGCTTTTCTCGTGCCCCACGAACAAATCTCTCACGCCAGAGAAAAAACGACAAGAACAACAACGCCAGGATCTCAGCCTGGCACAAGACGCTCAACCACATCCCACACCACCAACATCGGCAGTTCGGTCCGGCGCATCACCCACACTCAAGAACAAGGTGGATTTTCGCACTATGATGCATACGGAAACGATTTATGGCGCAGGTCAAGTTGCGACTGGCTGCATCTGAACGAGCACGCTAACACCTACATAGATATAATATCCAGGCTCCAAGGACACCAACGCCCATGTCACTACTCCCAGCCGTTTACAATGCACAGACAACAAAGGGCGTGGGCGGAGCCACTGAGGTCTAGCCGGCGCCAAGCAAGGCAGCAACTTCTGTTTGCTTGTTTGGTACTATAGACTATGCAACACCGGCCTGCGAAAATACTAGGAACTAGGAACCGCCCATTTCCCTTCAGATCCTTTTTTCGTCGTCACTGTCGAGCGTAGACTACCATACAAAATGATCCAGCGTTGCATCCATCCACTGCCGAGCTTGTAGCCAACTGTGGGTTCCCAGCTTTCTCATTCTTCGGGATTGTGGCTATTCATATTCTTGTAAACACGACATTTTCTTAGTGGCCGGCCGGTACTGCTGTACCCGATTAGCACATCTACTTCTAGTTCGTGGAAGCCCACCGCAGCAAATATCGTAGCCACACACCGCCGGAGCGCGAAGAAGAACGCCTTCATGTATGCCATCAGTCCTTCTTGACCGCAGCAGCCTTAGATGCGCGGAACTCGGCGATGTTGGCATCAGCCTTGATCTTCATCCGCTTTTGCAGGTCCTTCTTGTACCCGAGGTCGAAGAGCACCTCACACACAACGAACAGCGGTGATGCCAAGAAAGCCTGCCAGCAGCAGCAGTAGGAAGGGAAGGGGGGGTAAGAGGTTGCCCGAAAGAAAGGTGAAAAACTAAGCTTTCCTGAAGAACAGCCAGCGGCCCTTGTCCTTGGAACACTCTCAACACTGTGACCCTACACATACCCAAGACCTCTCTCGGACGAAACAATATTTCGGTGAAGAAGTCCAACGCTGACAGGCACGATACTTTTTCTCTGCAGAAGCCGCAACCGCGCCATCCCGCGGGACGAATTCGAAAGTGGTTCAACTCAGCACAGGTACAGCACACTACCAAAGCGAAGTGCGATACTACAGTGGGTGGTACAGAGTAACATCGAGCTTGACGTAGAGAACCAAGGCCACATTCTTCTTGCCTGGAAGAGGTTGTCGAGGAGCGCCGGCGCCCTTCCCTCGTGGGCGGCGTGCCCGTAGAACTGTGCTAGCCAGCACCCGATGTGCGCGGCGGTTGCCAGGCGTGCGGAGCCTCCGCCAGCCATCCACAGGTTGCTCGTGAGGTACGTCGAAGCCATCATGAGCGAGGCCACGCCCCCCGCGAAGGGGTCCATCACTGCCACAACAATGGCAAGTAAGTCGAAACGGCAGGTAAGTTGGAACGGCACATAGTTTGTACCGTGTTGCTGTACGACCAGAGGCGACATCATACGTCAGAGCGATAGGAGCTACATGATTGATGGTAGTTTGGGGGACAAACAGGAGGACTGTAAGTACTCGAAGAATTCGCTATTATACGCTTGTCTGAAGAGTGAGATGCCGTCTGAGATAGCCGCTCTGATTATCATGGACACAACAAGAGGTCTACGGTAGTGGTTGGTCGGTGTGCGCACGCAAGTGCTGTCACACAAAACAGTTGGTCGCGTGTCATGGCGTTGGATGTTGCACGAGAGAAAACTGTAGCAGCTCGACAGGAACGTTTCAACGTGCACTTGTCTGTTACAACAGTAAACATCTTTGGGAACAGCTCAACAAGGGCAGCCGGAGCCATTGCATTGAAAGCATCTTGGTGTGAGAGCACAGGCATACTCGACGCTAGAAATTGCCCTTGTTTTGAGCGAAAAAACTTGAGAAGGCTGCGCATGCTCCCCAGAATACCTAAAACCTTCAGTTCTCACCCAAATAGACGAAGATGTAGACCATCACAACCGGAGTACCAAGGTGCAGGTTCCAGGCTTCGTCCCTAAGGGGAAGCTGCTCCAAGACTTCCGAGGGAAGCTTTCCGAAAGAACACTGAGTCATGAGGGCGCAGCCGGTCCAGATTATGGGCCAGATACATAGCAGATGGATGAACTTGTTGACCCGGTTGCTGTGGTCTGCGCGACGAAGCAAGAGAGACGGGTCAAAGCCGTTGCTTAGCATCGAGTACGATCTCCCACTTCAGGACCTGGGAGAGAGCTAAGAAAATCGGATAAAATGAACAGATCACCGCAAACATAGAACCACTTGACAAAAAGAACAGATGTTCAGTTAAGAACCCTACGCTAAGTTCTTGTGCATGTAGTCGCTGCTGGGTTAGACTACGCCAAAGATAAAAAACAGGATCGAGCGTCGCGCAAAATGAGCACATCTTCAGTGGCGACGGGTATTGTACATCGATAGGCCCCTCTGTCTTTTGTTCAAACTGGCTAATGTGTTCTTCGCGGAGTGGGGACTGTGGGAGTGTTGTTTCTGAGTCGAACTGTAGTGCTGACGAAGTCTGGAGCCGATTGTGGCTTTCATTTGAATCATCGACAGAAACGTCGAGGTCTTCTATGCATACAAACGTGCAGGAAGGGGCGCCATCCGCCAGGTCATGTTCGCGCGAGCGAGCAATAAAGATCGTATCACACTCATGTCCATTCGGATACTCAACGACATTCTACCAACAACTCGTACAGACCGCCAGTATCGTCGGATCGCAGCAGCAGCAACAGCAAAGAAGCGAGAGACGGGAAGAAAGAAATAGCGTTGCCATACCATGGTGAGCTCGAGGCTCAAACAGGCATTTCTGCATGCATTCGCGGATGTTTTCTTTTCCCGGGTTGTTTGACCACCTTGGAATAAGACAAAAAAATAGCAAGAAAAAGCCAAGAAACTTCCGCATGGGTCGGCCGCTCGTGTGTCCGAAAGTCGGAAGAACCGATTTGCCCCTTATCTGCATTTCTTTCATGAACAAGTTCGTCGGATCGATGCGAGGATAACCCCGCAACATCACCGCTGGGGATAACAACCTTGTTGCCAGATCGAAGAATGTCCTCCAACTGTGTACTGCAGTAGCGTAGGCTACTTCTGTATGTACAAGAGCTCAGCTGTGGTGGAGATGATGGAGAGCGCAAGCATGGACCAGTTCAGACTCGAATGGGACGAAGGTTTCAACATATCAAGCGACCCTTCGGAAAAACTGCCCGCTGGAATGAAATACTTCTCCGGAGTAATAGCATCATCGGTTGGCGTTCATCCGAAGAAACATCGCAACGAACGGGACATTGTGACATTCGCGAACAACGTACCGATACCTTGTAAAATTGCTTACACCTAGGTATCATCTGGCGTGCGCCCGGAAGAACGAAAAGCACGGGCGATGTGCGTGAGCTGCGGAGAGCTGCGGAGAGTGAGAGCTATTAATGGTGGTGCTAACCTTCATCGTTGACGGTTGCGATGAGATTACGCACGAAAGTGGTTGAGCAAGTATGCCATGATAGGACCGGCGGCGCAACTCGGAACGCCGGGACAAACGACCAAAACGCCAGAAAAGCTTAGACCCACAACAACAGGTGCTACAGCCTAGCTACAGCAAGCCCATCTCACATGAGGCGTAGAAGGTGAACTGGTCTTCCAGCGAGAAGTACGAAGAAGGAGAAGACGACGTCATGGTTGTGGTTTCGCTCGTTTGCGTACCACTCCCCGAGAAGAAGTGAGTTGAGTGCTGATCGATCCGCAACGGCAGAGGTCCCCTGGTCGTGCGAAGGGCTTAGCAACAGCGTTCGCGGTGATTTACTTGGTAGCCTTGAATTCTGTGTGATCCCTCTCTCTTTATTGTGCGCAAGTGGTAGCGGGTGGTGTGAGGGCGGTGGGCGCGTGTTTGTGTGTGACCGGGGGGGCGGGTAAGCGCTGAGCGTTGGAGAGCAAGCGGTGGAATACATGCGGTGCAACAGCTTTCTCTGCACATCTCCGGAGATGTCGTAGAACCCCTGTTTTTCGTAGAACCCCGGATGAGGAACGTCGTGAAGGGCGACGAACGGCAGCACGCGTAACGCTGAGGAGAGGCAGGCGAACAGACGGAAAGGCTGGTACTCACAACATGTCGGGGATGTGGGCAAGTGGTCCTTCACGACGCCGCAGTGTCGGTGAAAGCACCAAGGACCGGCGGCCCCGGCTGAAAGCTTTGGCGGCAGATAGTGCACAGGAGCGTCGCCGTCAGGAATTCATCTCCAACCAGAAGAGGGTGAGCCTGAGATGCTGCGCTGTACAGCACCAGTCAAGAGACTACGCTTGAGGGTGAAGATCGACGCTGGGTGCATGTGTGGCGTGGTAACCTTGTGGTTGTAATCACTCGAAAGGCTACTGTCCACCTTGCGCGACGTTTGGATGGCGGTCTCTCTATTCAACATGCTCACCCACTCCTCGCTTCTTGTCTAGCGTGTACTTTTGTATCTGCAGCATCAACGGCCAAAGTGGTGCACAGGGCTGCGTGCTCACAGACTCAACTAGCCTGCAGTGGACGCCAGCTTGCCGAGAGTCCTGATCTTTTTCCAACGCTTTCCGAGCTACGGGCCTATAGAGAATAGATGGCGAAGCAACGTGATATTGTCAATATTTGAGGACTGATACTATTCCTCTCCGTGACTTCAAGGGTTGATTGCTCCGCACGGCTGAACCGCCCCAGAAATCAACTACTTCAGTAGATTGGAAGGGAGCCGTATAAAAAATAGATACAAGGGCACCGCAGAAGTACGAGACAAAATGAATGCAATCACTGGGGTGTCAATCGTCCTAACTCTAACCACACTCCGTGCAAACAGCATATGTGGTCGGGTCAACACCAATACATCAGCTACTCTCCGATCAAGTAAAAGGGTGATAGAGGACGATGCGGCGCCACATCCGGTGATGACATGTTCTTAGACACAAAATCCCATCAAATCCCTTCGTTGTCAAGAGGGTGTGTTTTCATGTATCGAACAAAAGAAAACGGCAATCGTAGACATGTTATCGTCCACATTTCCCAGGAACTTTCTGAAAAGCGAACGGCCGACAGGATGGGACGTTTTTCCGTGCTCTCAATGCATCAGTATGGGATTCTCACAGCATACACAGCAGTTTTCAGCAGTACACTAGAGTGGCAGGGGAAGGCAGCATCCCTGTGATACGTACGGCTGCTCCATCAGAATAGCTGGAGGGGTGAGAAAAGAATACTGTCTCAGAAATAGGTATACGACGGTCAACATCCCGCGGCGGCTCCTGAGTTTGGTGCTATGCTGCTCTCCGCCACGTCGTGCGATCGGTCGGTGGGTCGCATTCAGGCATGGCGCATTCGGCAAAATGGGCTATACACGGACTTCTACTCGTCTGCACGTGTGTTTCGTGCGGGAAAACTCAGCAAGACACAATACGCATGCATTCCAGGGAGTCCCGCACCCTCTCCTCCTAAACTCTTGGCTGTATTTGTGCTTTCGCCTTTGACTACTATCGCAAGTTGTTGCGGGTTGAGGTGCTCTCATCCTCAACTTGCGCCGTAGACTTCCCTCACGGCCTTCTTTGTGCGTTACTTGTGCTTATTGTTGTTGCTTTCTTCCTCAAGGCACGGCGGAACTTGTCCGACCACGCTCGTCTGTTGGCCGCTCTGCCGTCGGAAGAGTCAGAAGCCACAGATACCGGCGAATACCAGCACCTCCACCATCAACCACAAGCTGAGGGCTACGATTACGGATTCCCGCCGGCAGAAGGAGGGGCGGTGGTGTCGTCGGCAACAAAGAACGAAGGAAACGGAGGTGGGGCAGGGGCAGGAGGTGGAAATACAGGAGGAGCGTGGGCGGAGGAGGTCGAAATGGCGATCGATGATGGACAGGTGAGCGCCTCCACGGTGGGGGGGGGGTGTACTCATAGTCGTGCATGCCGTAGTCGTTAGACCATTGACCTCGCATCCCTACAAAGCCGGGACGAAGCACGCCAGGTTCTCACCGGACCAGGCTCTCACATCACCAAGCGCGAAGCGCCGTGAGGTATTCGGCGAGTCGCATGAAGGGTGCGCTGCATCCTGCTAACGGTGTTCAGCATCTTGTGCGTACGGATGACAGCTGCGTATGACTTAATTTATGTTCTGGTGCTTTCACTTCCAGAGACAGTTATTAGCACTGCGTAGCTACCTCGAGGATGCTTTACCATTGTAACACAACGTGGTGCGATCATCCCCCTTGAGCGGAGTCAGGGTTCTCGACCCCGCACAACATGATCTACCTACTCGACCACCAATATGGTTACCGCCAAAAAGAAAACAGAGGTAAAAAAAAAACGGTAACCTGGTTGCCGAGTTCACGAAGTGAACTGGCTTGTTTTACAACGTCGTTGCCAAGCGACGCGAACAAACCCAATCCCGATGGTAAACACCGAGGTTGTATCGTCGTCGGCAGGGTGTTTTTTTTTGCGATGGTGTGCAGGCTGGTGTCGCAACGGTTTAGTCGTGAAGAGAAGAAAGGCCAAAGGTGAAAGCAGCAGTCTTCCGTTCTGGTTACCCTCGTTCGCTTGTGTGACTTACGCTTTGAGAGCAAGACATGAGACTCGCGCTAACATTCTTATCAGCAGGGGTGCCCTCCCTCCGCATCGGGCTCATGAAAGCACAGCAGTAACATCTCAATGCTGTCTGATGCATTTTAAATGCTCTCTTAGGCCGTTTCGATGCTGTATGACGGCCATCGATGCTGTCTGAGGTCATTTCAATGCTTCTGAGACCAAACCAGCGCTGTCCGGCGGTATTTTTAATGCGGTCTGAGGCCTTATCAATGCTGCATGACGCCATTTCAATGCTTGCACCTGTCTCCGAATCTGCCCACCTTCTACAGGTCCATGAGAAGGCCCCCCACCATGTCAGCGACGCCACCGCCGGGGTTTCAACCGCCAGTGGACTGGCGAGCAGCAACAACAGCTCCACCGGCGCTAGAGGCGGTGGGCAAGGCGTCGGTAGGGGGAAGGGGAAGAGAGGCGCCGGAGGCAGCGGCGGTGCGGCTCAACGGGCGATAAGACGGCGAGACCACTGGGCCAATCAGCTTTGCACTCCGGAGTGGATGCTGACGGTCCCGAGCGATCTCAACGGTGCCGGCAGCACCGTTGGTGCCGGTGAACCAAGTTTAGCGCATGTAGTGAGCGAGAGATCGGGTGACTACAGTTCACCGATCTTGTACTTTGCGTTGATCCCGGCTGTGATTTGAAGCCGAAAGCAAGCCATTTAGACTAGCTGACCAGTCTAATGGTTTGATTTCAGCTTGTACGCGGCGTGAGATGCGTTTGATGGATTTACGTCTTGTCACCCTCTCATGTGAGTCAAGTCTACGCATGTAGTAAGCGAGATATGTGTTTTTACCGCAGTATACATGCACCGATCGTGAAGATGATCCTCATGTCTCTCCGGGCCCTGCCTTCTGGATTCGTCTGTTGTCGTAGTATCATCATTTCAGTCGCCGTTTGTTTCAAGGAACGTTTGGACCGCGTTCAATGGCATGCCTTGCATTGTCAAACAGACACCAGGCTGACAGCACGGCCAGATGAGGTCCATTGCTTGCCCAAAGCTGTCCGTTGGTGCTATCTGCATGCGTTCGTTTGTGTGATATTTTGCTTGTTCCACAGCTTTGTGTTGTGACGTGCGTGTAGGTGAACTACCAAGGCTCCGGAGTCTTCGCTATTGATTCAAGGCGTTTGTTTGTTACCCTGATTTTACTGGGCATTCGGCATGGCGTTTTCGTACATGCATGTGTTTGTGTGTGATTGTGTGCCGGTCGCTAACGCTGACAGGATGGTACGTGATGGCGAGGCCGGAGGGCAAGCGTGTGCTGGTCATCTCGGCAAAGGGGGAAACGGTGGCCAGGCAGATGTGCGGAGCAATCACGCACAGGTATGTATGCGCCTCTCACTTCCGAGTTATGGGCATGTGACTCCCACTATTGTAGCGTGATTTGGGTGTTGTTATAGGTGGGAACATCGCTCTCTTTCTGCGTGCGCGGCGTTTGGTTTCCGTGTGATGAAGTACCGTCCCTGGTGCTCTTGTTGTCGTTTGATCCTGACCGCTCATGGTCAGCTACAGGCAGCTCACCATGAGTTTACATCTAAGCTCACGTCGCTTAGCCTAACTGATGGCTTACGCGCATCTCTTTCCACGGTGGATCGCTTAGCCTAACCTGACGGACGTGCATCTCGCCCAGCTTAGTGTTGGCGATATTGCTATGTACGATGCCGGTAGGCTACTGAGGCTAGGTTTGCCGGCTCTGCAGTACTCGTGTCGTCTACGAGATCTACGATAGATATGCGATACATGGTCTTCCTGCCTCCGTTGTCTTTGATCGTCGTGATACGTACGCTCTCTCTACCTGTTCTTTGCTGCCCTCATCGTGGTACTGTATCTAAGCGTTGACTGTCATCGTTAAGTAGGACGAAGGTGGGGGTGAGGAAAAATCTTCATGGCCCAGAAATAAACGTTCAACTACACCTTCTCTTTTGACACGTTCTTCAAAGAACTTGTTAAATTCTTGATACAGCAGTGATTTTCTTTTGTATTCTTGCCTAGGTCATAACATGGCTGCACTTCGGCGACCCCGTTAAAAGCGCTCGCTGAAGGCACTCCCCGTTCAACGGCGCCTCGCTTTCCTTGCATTGCTCTCGCCCTCTCTCAGGTTTAGCTCGAACTTGCCGGGGGGATCGTCGACTACGGCGGGACGGCGGGGCAGTTCGAAGGGCGGTGGCGGCTACTGCATCTTGGACTGTGTCTTTCACGAGCTGGACCAGACTTTCTTCGTGTTGGACATGATGGCGTGGAAGGTGGGTGCCTTCACGTCCAATTCGTGAAAATGGTTCTCTAGCTGGTCATGCAGCCTTGCTGTACCATGGCATGGACAAACGATCGTGAGCGTTTTTTTTTCTAAGCCGGCAGGGGTTGAGTACCCGTAGTTCTACGACAGTCGTGTCACAGACGTAATTTTTGTTGCACTCTGCCCGATGGGTTGTGCAGGTGACCCTCCCGAAAGGTATGAAGTTGAATGCTCGCAAACCATGAGGCCTGATTCAGGATGGATGAGCATCAGCAGTGCGACGGCTTTTTTATATATATTTCGTTAGGGAGTTGTGTCAAGGTGTGGGATGTACCTACGCGCTCCGGGCTGAGCATTCTTTTATTAGTTTCATCCCAACTCGTCCTTGAGGCGATCAGGAGAGGTATCGTCAGGACAAATCGGCTTGTGCAGCCAGCCATTCGCCAGAGAAAACCGGGTGCCGGAGCCAGTCGATGAAACTGACTAACACGTTCCGGCTACCGATTTTCAATCTACAGTATGCTTCTCGATAGAGTAGTGCTTCCGTGTTTCGAAGGTCTTGTTTTGCGAACAGCTTCTTTTTTTCGAAGTGTTCTCGTCAACGCGGTCCTTTACGTCTCTTTCGTACCGTTCAGTGTCTTCCCCCGTGCACAACATTATCCCGCGCAACCAATTCATGTGTTACCCTATCCGTTTCCTTTCTTCACAACCGCCTCCCCCCCTCCATGGTTCCTTCCGTAGGGGCCCCAGGACTAGAATATTTTCCTCGTGTGCCCTTCCACAGCGGCAGTCTCGTTCGCACTGTCGGGAAATCCGGGTTATGCATACCGTCATGAATCCCTTTAAGCCTGTCCTCCCACTCTCCCTTCCTTACCCTGATTGAACTGCTTCCTCCTCATGTATATCTTCGTGAACTCCTAAACCCAGCCCTCCCCCCCCCCCCC